GTACAAAGGGCAGAGCCTGACACCTGAGTAGACGTGTTCCAGGCTGGAGGCTACGTGTTCATGATCTGGGTGACACGCTGCAGGGCAAAATTCTGCAGCCCCTGCTTGCTCCCAGGTGCTGGGCTGGTGCGAGTCCTCTTGGGACAGGACCGTGCTATGCAATGGGATGAGGGTTGTGCCACCATAGCAGCCCAGGAGCTGAGCAGGCCCCAGCGCAGCCCTGTGGGCAGACAGCACTGGGGGCAGGGATCTTTTCCTAACTCAGCTCACTAAGGCTGCTGCTTGGGAACGTGCAGAGCAGGAGCTCTTCTTCCTGCTGGAGGTTGTCATTCTGCTCATGGTCCTCTTCTCTTACCCGGGAAGATACAGAAACGTGCTGAGAGAGAGAGTATTGCCTTTCATCTGAAGGGCCAGACTTCGTTGCCAAGTAAAGGCAGAGGATAGATTTGCAACCAAGTGGAGAGCATTTTCTGGAATGGGTGTCTTGATGCAGTTCAGGACAGGAGGAGCAGCTTTATGCAGCCAGAGGCTTGCCCTGTGCAGAGCCAGTGTTGGTCTGTTCTGGCTAGGGCTCCCGGCTGGGACACCGGGGCACAGAAGGCTTCCCCAAGCAGCCTGGTCTAGAATCATGAGGAAATGTGCATGAAGGCTGATGTTGGAAAAGCTGCTTGTTTCTGGCTAAAGGGCCTTGAGGAAGGAACACCTACCTATCAGCGACAGGCAGGCTGTCTGTCCCCCTTGCTGCACCTCATGGCCACTAGGGTTCCAGCATTGCTGCTCTGAGGCAACAGGGGGAGATAGTAAGATGCCATCAGTCTTGTTCTTTTCTGCCTGACCAAAAACACCTGAAATGAGCAAGAGTTTAGAGACTGGGGCTGTAGTCCCAATGAGTAAAAGCCGTACCTGAGAAATGAGAAAATTTGGGAAATTTTGATGACATTTTGCGTTACTCTTTTTTTTTTTTTTGATAGATATATTTCTTTCTTTTCTATTTAATAATAGTTTAATTGGGATATAATTTACATGGCATAAAAGACACCGTTTTAAAGTGTACCATTTTTTCAGGGGACCAGCAGATGGCGTAGCAGTTACGTCACTGGATTCCCACATGGCCGACCATGGTTCGAGTCCTGGGCCCCGTGGCTTCAAAATCACGCCAGGCACGTGTGTGTGCATGCCTAAGACCCTGGGAGGAGAATGGAGGAGAAGAGATTGCGGCATGGCCATCTCCCCTAGGGGGTGATTTCTCACTTTCCCTCCCACTGTGTCTGTCTGTCTGTCTGTCTCTCTCTGAAGAGTTCATGTGCCCTATAGCAAAACCCTCTTTAAAAAAAGCGTACCATTCAGTATTTTTTTAAAGCATATTTATATTTTTACAAGATGCCCTATAGCAAAACCCTCTTTAAAAAAAGCATGCCATTCAGTATTTTTTAAAGCATATTTATATTTTTACAAGGTATCGCTGTCTAATTCCATAATATTTGTAGAACGTTCACTAGCACTCCCTCCTTATTCTTCTAGGGCTCCCACCTCTGGAAATCAGCAGTTTGCTTTCTGTTCCTAGATTTGTCCATTCTGGACATTTTCCACAAGCTGTCTGATATGGTGCATGACCTTCTGTGTCTGGCTCTTCTTCCTTAGCACAATATTTTAAAGATGCATCTGTGTTCTTGTTTGTTTTTTTTTTTTTTTTTTTAAATGGCGAAATCCATTATGTGCATAAACCATATATTGTTTTATGCATTGACCAGTTGACGGGCTTGTGTGTTGTGTCCACTTCCATGTCTGTTATCAGTAATGCTGTTAGGAACATAAATGTAGAGTGGGCATCCCTAATACCCAGGTCCAAAACCTGCAACCCTTTGAGCATAAACACGATGCTGCAATTGGAAAATTCCATGCCTGACCACATGTGACAGATTGCAGTCAAAATGCTGCAATACAAGCATAACATACAAACTTATCTTTGGGCTATACGTATAAGATGTGAATGAAACAGAAATGAATTTTGTGTTTTAGACTTGGGTTGTACCCCCAAGATGTCTCATTGTGTATATGTGAATACTTCAAAATCTGAAAAAAAATCTAAAACCCGAAAATTTTCTGACTCCAAATATGTTGGAAAAGGGATATTCATCCTATGTAGGATTTTTGGGTGGTTATATGATTTCACTTCTCGTGGGTGTATGTATGTATATATGTATATATACGTGTGTGTGTGTGGAATTGCCATGTCACATGGTAACTTGATGCATGACACTTTGAAGAACTGTCAACTATTTCTTACAGCATCCATGCCACTCTGCAATCCCACCGGTGTGGAAGGACTCAGAGTGTTTCTCCACCTCCTTGCCTACGATTGTTTTTATCTGTCTTTTTATTCTAGCCACAATATTATGTCTCCTTGTTGCTTTCATTTACATTTCTCTAACTGACTAATAGTGTTGAGCATCCTTTCATGTGCTTATTGGTCATTCGAATATCTTCAGAGAAATGGCTGTATAGATCCTTTGCCCATTTATTATTCGATTTGTCTTTCTTTTGTTCATTATTTAATACTCAGGATACAAGTCCCTTTTCAGATATATGATTCTTTAATATTTTTCTCATTCTTTGAGTTCGTTATTTTTACTTTTATTGTTGTATTTAAACTATTGCTTAATCTCAGATTACAAAGATTTACTTTTATGTTTTCTTCTAGTTAATAAGCTTAACTCTGAAACTCAGGTCTGTGATTCATTTGGAATTAATTTTTTGTGAAAGGTATAATATCTGTGTGTAGATTCATTTTTTTTCAATACCACTAGTTGAAAGAACTGTTATCATTTACCCATTGATGTGTTATGGCACTTTTTGTCAAAAGTCAATTAACCATTGAAGTATGGGTTTATTTCTGGATTAGCAATGCTAATCCATTAATTTATAATATATGTCTGTCCTTATGCCAGTATTACACTATCTTGATTAATATAGCTTTGTAATGAGCTTTGACATTGGGCAGTGAATTTCTTCTAACTTTATTTTGCTGTTCAAAGTTCTTCTGGATATTTGGGTAGGGGTCTCTTGAATTTCTATATGAAATTTAGGACTGACTTGTCAATTTTTGTAAAAATATGCAATTGGGCTTTTCATAGAGATTGCATTAAATTGATTAATCGATCTATTAATCTATTGATCAATCTGGGAAGCTATCTGAAAACTATTATATCTTTCAATCCATGAACATGGGATGTCTTTATTTATTGGAGAGATTTTTGCTATAGCGTGTGTGTGCTCACTAGAAAGAGAGAGACAGAGAGACAGAAAGTGAGAAATCACCCCTCAGGGGGGTTGGCCACAATGCAATCCCTTCTGCTCCATTCTCCTCTTGGGATCTTAGGCACGTATGCACACGTGCCCAATGTGAGTTTAAGCTACTGACTTGAACCGCAGTTGACTATATGGGAGTCCAACGACATAGCCATTACACCATTGGCTGGTTCTGGGATGTCTTTATTTTTAAATTTAATTCTTTAATTTCTTTTGATGATGTTTTGGTAGTTTTTAATATACAAGTCTCACATATCTTTTGTTAAATTTGTAAGTTATTTTTCATGTATGTACTTCATATTCTAAAGTGTGTCTCTTGTAGCAACAATAATTTTCATTTATTCTACCAATTTCTGTCCTTTGATTGGAGTGTTTAAACTATTTAATGTAATGACTGATAAAGTAGAATTTTTGTCTGCCATTTTGCTATTTGTTTCCTATGTTTCTTTGTCTTTTGAGTTCTTTTCTTCCTCCATTTTTCTATCTTTTGTGTTAAGTTGATAGTTTATTTTTATTTTTTTGTTTTTAATTTGCCAGAAAGTAGAAGCACTCGCCAGAGAAGAGACAGAGAGAGAGAGGGAAAGAAAGCAACCCCCATACCCCATGGGAAGTGATCATGCCACAAGCCCTTCTCCTCCATATTCAACATTGTGGGCATGTGTGCACACATGCCAGGTATATTTTTCAAGCAACTAGGTGTGACCCTAGAACCACACAGTCAGCCAAATGGGATCTGCTCCCTTAACCACCAGGCCAAGAGCTGGTTTTTAATTAGTTAGTTTCTATTAAACCACTATACTATTCTTTGTAGTTTTAATGATTTGCTTTTTGAGAGAGAGAGAGGAATTCCCAATATGCTACAGTCTCCCCCAGTCCCAGGCAGCCTGGATTGTGGTTACTGTGTGTACACCCATCATACTCAGGAGTCCTGAGACATGAGCCCAGAACCTTTGCATTGTGGGTCCAGTTGTGTTACCACTGTTCCACCACCTGGCCCCATTATACTTTTTAAATCCCATATCAATAAATGTTAGTTCACATTTTTGAAGGTTTTTCTTTCTTTTTTTTTTTTTTTTTTAGTACTTGATGAAGCCCATTGAAAAGAGGCTGAATGTAATTGGAAAAATAGGGGAACAGAATAGCGTTCTAGGAACAATCTGCTATCTGAGAATCTTCTGTGTTGATGGATTTATCTGTTAACTTCTTGATTGAACTTTTTTTTAAATAAATAATTCTAAAAAAATACTGATAGAGGATGTGTGTACTCACCAGAGAGAGAGACAAAGAGGGAGAAAGCACCCCTCCCCTGCCCTGGGGAATGCTCATGCCAGGATCTCTTCTCCATTTCTTCTCTGTTTTGGGATTTTGGCCACATACACCCATGCCTTATGAGTCTTTCAAGCTGCTGGGTTTGGGACTCAAATCCTAAGGTCAGCCATGTGTGACCCAAATGCCTTAATCACCAGGTCACAGAGCCAACCTGGACATTGATTGAGGCAGTAAATCTTGCTTTTACCTTCAGTACTATTACACTTGATTCATGTCTAATCTGATAAGATTTCTAATGATTATGTAATAGCCCTCCTGGCTGGGAGATAAAAGGAGGCTGGGAGATAGGAGGAGTCCAGTGAGCTCTTTCAGTCCTCCTCCATCCTGGCCTCTGACCTCCGTGACCTCCTCTTGTCTCACAGGCACCCAGAATCCTGGTGGGTGTACCTCTCCTGCCCCCAGACTGAGGGATACCTGAGACCAGAGACCTTCCCCGACGTCTCTACACGGTGCCTGGCGTGAGGAGAGAGCCTGCTGAATGCGCATAGCACAGCAGGGGCCGGACGTGGCTGGAAGGTAGCTCCCGTCCTCCCCCTGGACTTCACAGGTAACTTTGAATTGGGAACATGAAAGCTTGAAAACCTTCATTTTCCTCTTAATTTTAAACTTCATTTTTTTTTCTTTCATGAGAAAGACAGAGACAGAGTGAGAGACGGGCATCCCCCAACAGGTTTTCACATCACGATCCACCCGCAGGTTCAGAGCTGGCCCAGGTCACGGGCCCATACATGTGGCCAACCTGGGGGGTGAACTCAGGACCTTTCCCACGTGGGTCCTGTCGTGTTAGCACTGTGCCACACCTGACCCATTTGTCTGTCTCCGTGGAATCTCAGGCCACTGTTGGAAACATAGTAGCCTGCCTGGATGGATTTGTCTCGTAAGCTGCCTATGTGGGCAGTTCCCTAGTACGATTCCCCCAAGTGAATTTAAGGATAGTCCTCAACCCACCACATTAAGCTATTACAATAATTTATACTTTACCGAGACTTCCATGATTCCTCATTTACTGCTTATAACATTCTTGTGAGCTTGATACTGAAGTTGCATGTAGACAGGAACCAGCTTTTGGTCAGGGTGGTGGAGGCAGAGACTCACTGATTCATGAATTCACTGAGAACGCATGGATTGATCTCCTGTGTCGGGCCCGGCTCTGCTTCAACTCAAATCCCCGGGGGCCACAGCAGCCAAGCATGCTCTCAGGGGAGTCTGTCTCAGTGGGGTGCGAGGACAGGCACAGAAAGCAGCAGCACATAGCCGACAGCAGGAAGAGGAGATTCATGGTACATGCCAAGGCGCCAACGTGTGGGGAAAATAAAAACCTAGACCACATTTAGTGGGGCAGGGAAGGTGGAGTAGATTCGGATGGAGTAGTCAGAAAGTTCTCACTACAATTGTGACGTTGTAAAGTCTGTTTATTTATTTCTACCATGAGAGAGACAGGGTCAACAGGGCTCCCGTGCTGTGACCCGTTCTTCTCAGCCAAGCCCAGATCAGGGGCATGTGTGCCCACTGGGGGTGCTCAGGCAGGTCCTAGAACAGGAACCGGGACCCTCCCAGGTAAGTCCAACTGTACTGCCTCTGCACCAGCACCTGGTCCCCAGAGGTGACATTGAACATGAGTTCTAAGGAATTGCAGCAATCAGCCTCTCGGTATGTGACCAGATCACTGTGGTGAGAAGGAGCAGGGGGTGTGAAGGCCCTGAGGCCAGAGCCTTGGCACTTTGCAGGAGCTCTGGCAGAAGGAGGGAAGCTGGATGGGAGCCAGCACAGAGCCCAGTGCCAGGGCTGGGTCAGGAGGCAGGGACTGGCCTTCCTTTGGCTTTGCAGCTGTTGGGGAATTCCTGGTTTCATGATGAAAAGTTGGTAAAGGTTTTCTTTTTCTTCCTTCCTTCCTTCCTTCCTTCCTTCCTTCCTTCCTTCCTTCCTTTCTTTTTTAGTTCACCAGAGAGTTCATGTACTTACTAGCTGGAAAAAGACAGACTTTGGCTTTGCAGCTGTTGGGGAATTCCTGGTTTCATGATGAAAAGTTAGTAAAGGTTTTCTTTTTCTTCCTTCCTTCCTTCCTTCCTTCCTTCCTTCCTTTTTTAACTTACCAGAGAGTTCATGTACTTACTTGCTGGAGGAAGACAGAGAGAGAGAAAGTGAGAAAGCACCCCTTCTTCCCATTGGGGACAGTCATGCCACTATCCCCTCTCCTCCATCTCTCCCTGCTTTCGTGATTTTGGGCACACATACATTGTAATTCTCAAGCCTCTGGATCTGGAACTTCTGTTCGGCCATGTGGGATCCAGTTGCCTCAACCACCAGGCCACTGGCTGGCCCAGTGCAGGGTTTTAAGCAGAGGTCCTGCACTCCATTTCAATAAACTCTGCTGGCTCTATGTGAGAACAGACCACAGGGGTCGAGGACAGTGGTGGAATCCAGGGGACCATCTCGGAGGCCGTAGAAAAGCTCATTATCGTAACCCAGACAGGGACAAAGTGTTACTTCTGCTGCCAGCAGTGGAAGTGAGACGTGGCCACGTTCTGGAGATAGTTTGACCATCGAGCCCTTAAGATGTCCTGACGGGGTGGTCGTGAGTGTGAGAGAAGGGAAAAGCCTGATAGTGAGCAGGACTTCCGTGTCACTAGACACACTTGTCACCCACTGAGATGAAGGTCTCGTGCAGCAGAGACAGGAAGTTCAGTCTGGAATGTGGAGATTGAGAAGATTCATGCTACCCAGATGGAGGGCTAGTGTGCCCAGGCATCTGAAGAGAGGTCAGACGTGAGCACCAGTGAGTGCAGGGCAGAGATTATATGGCGGGCTCTGGGACAGCCAGCCTCGGGGTGCAAATGAGAATGAGGGAGTCTAGGAGACAGAGAGGGACAACCAGAGAGATGACGGGGAAGACTCTGAGTGTGGCATCTTAGAAGCCACCTGGTTATTTCAAAACAGAGGAGTAATGAGCTGATCCCGGTACCGGTGGGCCAGGTGAGAGGAGGACTTTTGAACCAGTGCCGTGTGGGTCATTGGTACTTGTGGCCACACAAGCTGAACAGAGGGAAAGATGGAGGGGGAGTTGCAGACAAGAGAGTCAACAATTGTTTCAAGAAGGCTTGCTCCCCAAGGGAGCATGATATGGGGTGGTGCCTGGAGGGGTCAGTCAGGTCAGGGGGAGTATTCTTTATTTGGGAGCATTAACAAGATATTACGAGGGTACATCAGAACTGTTATATGTATTATGAAAAAACTATGCATGGATTTCAAAACTGTTTTGCGTCAAAATAATGTTGTCCTTTAATTCTATTTTCCCAAGAGCTTTTTAAAGTCTCCTGATACAAAGAGTGCTGCAGGGAGTGATTCAGTAGGGAAGGAAACCTTGATGCAGGGCGGAGGTTCTTGGGAGGAGAGAGGTGGGCGGCACACCGGTGGAGCTGGGCAGGGCTGTAGGAGGTGCGCAGGTCATTATAGGTGGGAATGGACCCTGTGACAGGTACGTGGGTAGCGCCTGGAGGATGAGGAGGCTCCACAGTTCTCATCTTCTCTTTGAGGAATAGGAAACAAGGTCTCCATGGTGACTCTGACTTATAAATGCCAGTGCCTGGAGGAGGAGGGATTGTTAATTTGCAGGGACCAGGGAGGCAGCAAGACGTCCTCTGGAGAGAGGAGGTGTAGGAGGGGGCTCCTGGTAGCAGAAGAGACCACTGGAAGCTCAGGCACTCAGGGGACGTGTGTTCCTCTGGATAGTCCCTCTGGGGACTTGATGCACGCGGTTAGTCACAGACTGAATGAGGGTCCAGGGGAGGAGGGACCAGCATGGACGGCTTGCTCAGGATAGGGACAGTACCAATCCCAGTGGAGACCAAGACATGACAAGAGGAGAGAGGACCTCAGGGTGGATGACTGGTGATGCAGGAGCGCCTTTATGCTGGGGTACTTGGGCACTGAGGACAGTGAACAAGGGGGCATGAACTGGGGGTCAGGGACCTCTGCAAGGGTCCTCCCCCAGCCCCAACTGTGGACACCAACTCCGTAAACTGAATTTCCATTGGAGCTGCCAGGATGTGCTGCCCACACGTCACCCATGTCACCCACGTGCTCCTTTGCAGATTCTCCGGGCAGGAATGTGATCATGTGCAGGTTGACCCTGGGAGCTGCCCTCCCACTCTCTTTCTTTCCTTGGAAAATGAGGGCATGATGGCCTTTCATTTACTTTCTTTTAAAACCTTACCTTCCACGTGTTAGGGTAGTTCATCTTTCTGTGCAGTGCACCCGCTGGTCTGGAGAGGTGTAGACTCTACTCAGGTCTCAGACGTACCCTCCTCGGGTCCGAGGGAAAACACAGAAGCACCAGGACAGAAGGCAGGCAAGGCCTCCTGGAATTTTGCTTTCTTTCTCGCATCTGCCTGTCCCGCCGCCCCCACACACTCTGGGACTCTGTCTCAGACAAGTTCCAAAAACTGCGAAATGGCTTCATAGTCACAAAAGAATCATGTTGAAGGGGCCAAAATGCCAGAAAATGACATTCCAACATGAACAAAGCTGTTTGTTTTTACATGCTAGGATTTGTAAAGCTAGACGGTTTTCATGGCCGGGAGTCTTGTTATTTCTGCAGTGGAAGTAGCCAACCTAAAGGATCACTTTCTGCTCTGCATTGTCTTATTTTTGCAAATAGACAATATCATTGATTAAAAACTTGAACTCTTTGGTTAAGAAACTGGACCTTGGCCATCCTTCAGCCTGGGGAGTAGCCAGCCCTGGGCCAGCTGCAGCTGCTGACCCTGTGTAAGCAGCTGGCCTGCTCCTGGCTAGTCGGCTTGTAGAGCAAAGGTCGTTTTGAGAGAGGAACCAGAGGGAAAATGTCAGTCCCTGCTCTGGGTCTCTAGGGCTGAGAGCTGCTGATGTGGAGAAACGAGCAGTATTTTTAGAAATGGAAACAGAGGTGCTGTCCTGAGGTGCAGTGGCTGGTGGTATTGTTAAAATAAATCATGGCGACCACATTTTCCACTTTTAGCTCAGTTCCAACTTCTATTTTTTTTGGGGGGGGTAGGGTTTTTGGCTTATTTTTGGTTTTTGAGCACTTCCGGCTGTTCTATGCATGCACTGGGCCCCGTCCTCTGTCTTCCTGGTGCTCATACTCACGAGATCAGAGGGGTCTGGTGAACTGCTGGGAAAAGGGGGAGGTACCTGCTCCCTCTGAGAGTATCAAGTTCTCTAGAAAGATTGGGCAGGGGACACTTAGTGAGCTTCCAGTATATGCAGGATCACATGCTTGGGCCCACAAGGGGAAGGAAGGAGATACGGGCAGACTTAAGATTTTAAAATATGACCATCTGTGAACAATGTTATCATCTGAGGATGCAGACTCCAGTTCCCAAGACCTGAACACAGAAACGGATGCTGAGTACTAGAAGTCTTCTCATAATCAAGCTTTTTTTTTGGAGTTTCTTTTCTATATTGAGTGAGAGAGAGGAGTACCCTTGGTGGGGTCTTACCATGCTAGCCCCTCTTCCCCCAGCCCTCCAGCCAGCCAGGATCTTAGGTCTCATGCTCAGGGTATTTCAG